AGGGCTCCGGGATCCTGGAAGAGACTCTGTCCTTCTGCATTTGCAGAGCCGGCAGCTGCTCTTGGAGGGAAAGCACTCCTAGCTGCCCAGTCTCAGCCCTCAGCCCCAGCACAGCCATCTCAATGCCTCCTACTCAGATGGTGCCATTGAAAGCAGAATTTGACCCTAGACTTCCAAGTTAACCCCCTCCCCTCCAAACCATCCTCTTCTCACTCCTGACTTTCTAAATGCAGCCAAAACCTTTTTTCACAACAACATCCTGCCCCTACCACAGGAAAGGGAGAGAGGGAGAGAAGTTTTGGGGGAGTGGGGAGGTGGTGATGTGACAGCCTAGGTGTCACCCCTCCACTGTACACACACAAACAGAGCCACACCAAGACAGAGTAAGTCTCAGGGGCTGTCACTCCCTACTAAAGGGAGACAAATCATAACTCCAGAGGGAAATTCAACCTGGATGTGGGGTGGGGTTAAGGGGGAGCCTGGGGAAGAAAAGTCAGGGAAGCTAGCTGATGCAAGGGCCAAGGGAAGGAACCGGGCTGCAGAGAAAGGCATGGGGGAGTGTTACCTTCCATGGACATGGGCTCCAGGATCCCGAACTGCTTGAGGACAGCAATGAAGAGCATAATGACCACAGCCACGGCACAGAGCTCCATCCCTTGGATGCCCATGGCTGACCAGTGTCCCGCGACGGGCGGCGCAGCTCCGGGGGCATGCGAATTGTGATGTCCCCCGGGGCTGGCACAGCTCCGGAGGCACCCAGGCCCGGAACGGCGGGGCCGGCAAGTGGATCTGCGGCAGGGAGGAGCCCGTGGTCTCTGCCCTCGGCAGCTTCACATCTCCAAGTCCTCGGTCAGGAAAGATTGATGTGTAATATCCTTCCCCGGCTCTCTGGGGGGTGGGGGATGGGAGGAGAGGGGAGAGGGGAGACTCGACTCGTGGGGCGTGAGGCTCTGCTGCGGCCCAGGTGCAAGCCCCATGGAAGAAAGAAAACCCCAAACTTTCCAAACTTGGACGTCCAAACTTTTCCCAGCAGCAGATTCACGGCATGGCTGTGTCCTCTGGGGGCTGCCTGGGCTGCTTTACAACTCCTGTAGATCCAGCGAGACCCTCCGCTAGGCTCGAGGCTCCATCCGTCCAGGAGACGGACTTATACGGCAGGGTCAGCGGGAGGTTGTGAGGGGCTCCCCTGTGCCCTGCGATGCTCTGACAGCCGGAGCATCCCTCCAGCGCCTCCATCTCAGCTCTCTGTGATGCCATTGGCTGCAGGACGGCTATAAAATTTCTTCCCCACGCTGCCCCCCGCCCCCTCTGCCTGCACAACATGCACACTCACCCCCGAGAGCTCCAGGGAGGAGGGAGAGGCGTGGGGCTGGCGGGGTGGCTCTCGTCACCGCGAGCAGGCCGGCATCGATCGAGAGGCGAGAAGGGCTCAGTCTCCGCCGGCGCTCTGGTTTGAGTTCTGTTTATTTCTGGCACGTGAAAGGTGACTCTCCGGCTGGCAACTGCAGCCTGCAGCCATGCTGCTGATCTCATGGGGACTGGCGGGGGGGTGGGGGGTGTAACGGGAACTACTCCAACGAGGGGCAAGGCAGTGACGGCCAACAGGGTCATGCTGGGGGAGAGTGGAGGATGAATCAAAGGGGATCAAAGGAGCATGGCTGGATTAACCCCAGGGGAGCGGGATGCATCTGCCACAATTCCTCCAGGGGTAGATATAGCCCCCGGGCAAAAATGCAGCTCCCATCTCCTGCCTGGTTACACTGAGAGAGGATGTGGTCTCTGGAGTCTTACGCTTGCCCCTGCCCTGCACTTGCAGTGCCTCCTGCCTTGCAGGAGAGGGGTTTTATTAAACACTGCCAAGCTCATGTAAAACAGCCGGTTGCCTCTGCAGGGCAGGACGGATACAAAGGCTGCAGGGCTGCGCTTCTGCCAGGGCCCCACCCCACCGCTCCGCAACCCCAGGAGCAAAACTGCTCCTTCTCTGTGCCACACACAGAGTGCAGGGGGCTGTGAAGGAGACAGAGCAGAGTGCTGGCTCGGTCTTACACACACGCGCATGCACACAAACTTGGACCCAAGTTTTTCAGCAGGTCCAGGGACACAAACCTATCTTGCCTGCTTGTAGTGCTGCATAGATCCTGCTAAAAGCACACCCACGTTGCACATGCATGTTCATACGTGTGACACAGGAACTGGGGCTGAACATGGTAATATGAGCCTGAGGGGTGTCGGGGCAGGGTTAGGGACAGTGTAGAAAATGGGTAGGGGTAGTGGTGGGTGGTGTAGCAGGCAGCTGGGTGGCACATGACAAGCCCTGGGGCCAGGATCCAGAACCACTGCACTATGCCAAGGGCACACCTTTAAATACGGTATGAGTCAATTATGCTCTAGGCATATACACCTTTAAATACTGTAAGAGAGTCAATTGTGTTCTAGGCATATAAACCTTTAAATATGGTAAGAGCTGGGTGTCTTGCCCCTTATGCAGGGACGGGCTCACAGTTACAGGGAGAGCCATGGCATGCTGCACCCCTTGTATGTATGTCACTGGGACAGCACGGACCTGGAAGCAGCTCTCCATGGTATCTCCAGGGAAGGGTCTGGGAAAAGGGATGTCACGAGCTCAGCCCAGTGCGTGGACACTGAGTAGAGTCTTCCTGGCAGGGGGTCTGTTGGCACGTGGGCCCCACCAAGAGACTGTCTGCATGGGCTCCAACAGCTGCAGGGGCTTGGATTTCCCCTCCTGGCATCAAAGTCTTGGTCCAGCTGGAACAGGATGCCTTGGATTACATCTCTGCACCTGTTGATACCACAGAGCCCTAGCTTACACCTGCTGCTTGATTTGATGCATCCCACAAAGCCCCAGCTCCTGGAATCATGAGATTCTGGGCTCACAACGTCCACAAAAGCAAAGACATTTCTCACTCTCCTGGCTGTGGAGAGAAGCTTGGAGACAGAAGCTGAAGGCCGCCGGAGACCAGAAGAGCTAAGAGAAATTAGCCACCATTTTAACCAGGACTGGGGCAGGATGAACTCCTGAGTCACGAGCGCTATATGCTTGGGGTCAGCCATGCTGCTACTTAAGTGGATGACTCCCCAAAGGACAAGGAAACGCTCTGGGGATGTGGGTGCCCTTGTGTAGCCATGCCGGAGCAATCGGCTCCTCTATAGGCAAGCTGGGACCCCTTTTACTCTCTGTCCTGGGAACACGCTTGTATACGTGTGTGCACAGAGGCCCTGGGTGTCTGCGCCTGTTGACAGAGCAGATGGAGCTCTTTGGCTGCAAGTCTCCGGACCTGTTGGTGCTTATCCATCCCTATTAATGTCATCGAACTGGCACCAGATTTGGGGGAAGGGGAGCCAACAAAGATTATGTCCCCAGGTGTCCAACTTGAAGGGGGACATGAAAGCAGCAGCCCTATGGCCCTGCAGTGTCTGTGGGCTCCATGCCAGAGCTGGCTGCTTGTCAGGGGAGGTTCTTCAGGAATATAAGTGATATCCTTCTTCACTTAATAAGGGGCTTAAGGTGAAGGAAGAACCACCCCAGCCCTGAGGCCCTTCTAAAGGAGCAGCCTCCTGACTCGACTAGCGGCCAGCTTTCAGTGCTTCAGAAGAACTTGTCCAAGTGCCGTAACAGTTGGAGAAGGAGAGGCCCCAGCATCCTTAGGAGATTTGCTGAGGTCCTAACTCAGCAAAGGCTGCACCAACTCAAAGCCCTGGAGTGAGGTTTATTCCCCTGGTACAGATACTAACTCTGAGCCAAAATCCACAAGGAGGAGGAGGACCCACCTGCTTTCAGTCTCAAGGCTCAGGTGCAAGGAGTTGTGTTAATACTTTTTTAGGCCCTTGAGCAGCAGGGAACAGGGTCACACGTAGGCACCAAAGTCTACATATGCACCTACCAGGTTGAATAGGATCTGGGCTGGGCTAGAAGAACCAAAGCTATGCACAGTGATGCCCTTTTCACCCTCCTTTCCTCTACAACATCCACAAGCAAGAAGTTCTGCCAGTTAATGCAAGGCACGGGAGGCAGGAGAGCCTCTGACTGACTTGACCCATGTTTGCCTTCTCATCTGACCTTCTCCAAACCACCTCCTGCTGTATCATCCCTCCGACGCATCATCCCAATTCATTACCTGCCTGCACCAAACAACCCATCATTCAGAGTGAGAGCTCCTGTCTGTAAAATATTACTTTAACCATAATACAAAGGGACGGGTCTGCATTTTCACCTTCCCCCTCCACACACACACCACACATATCTTCCTCTGTCTCAGGCTAGGTATTACCACACTCCTCTTTACTTCGCTCCCCTCCTCCCTAGGAAATCTGCTTGAGAAGAACAAAAGCCTGGAGCACTTCCCCATAAACACTGCGCTATAAACAAGACATTGATTCCTCTTTCTCTCCATGTAAAATATTAAAGATGCTTAAATGGATAAAAAGCTCCAGACTCAACTGCTCTCCGATCCATTCTGCATTAGCAGCAGCAGCCGCCAATTGGTTTAATGGATGGCATCCGACTCTGCTCTCCCCCAGACTCCTGCCTGCCAGGAGCCCTCAGCCCTCGATGGGTTTTGCTGAGGGGTTTTTCCTCCATTGAGACCAACAGCTCCTCTTAGAGATGGGAAACCATTGCTTTTTTTCTTCAGATGAGTGCCTGAAACTTCATCAAAGGCTGGTAGAGATACTGACAGGAAAGGAGACGCCTCTACTAATGTATGCCGGGAGATGCAGCCAGGCGGATGCTACGGCTTCCCTACGTGGCTCAGTAGGCAGCTTCTTGAGGGTACTGCCTGCACAACAGGTCTTCCTATCTAGGACAAGGGCTCCTGGTTTCCAGGCCTCAGCATGGCCAAACTGCACTCGAACTATTCTCCGCCAGAAGCAGACTGTGCATGAGAGCAGCCTGGTGGCTGGACTCTGAACAACTCTAAAGGTGGCCTTACTTCCTCCTGTGGCACTAGTGGCCCAAACCTTTGATGAACACTGAGCAGCTTATCTCCTTCTCCCCAGAGTGCCCCATGAATCTGAGCTAAAGGACAAGCTGAATGGCTTAGAAATGCTACCCTTGCAAGGGCATACCTAGAGCTGCTCCTGATGTGAGAGCAACAGAGAGGGAATCACTTCCCAAAATGCAATCACAAGTCCTGGGATCACAGGTTCAGATCCTGGCAAATTTGTCTCAGGCCTTCCCCGGGTAGCTAAATTCCAGGGATGCATGAGCGCGGGGAACCCTGAGAGCTATGCCTGAGAGGAACAGGAGATGGAAGGAGCACAGCTGGGAATATCTACATATGTGAGATGTATTCAAGTCTGCAGGGCCTGATACAATGCACCTGAGAGTACTTAAGGAACTGCCAGAGCAATCTTGGATCCTTTAGCAATTATCATTGAGTGCTCAGACGTCCCAGAAGGCCGGAGAACAATGCCTTTTCTTTAAAAAAGGGGTAAAGCAGAGGATCTGGAGAATTACCCACCCCTCAGCCTGATTTGTGTGTACCAGGATGCTGGAATCAATGGTTAAGTAGCCCATTCATAAGCATCCAGTGGATAATAGGAACATAAGAACTGCTGTTTACTGGGTCAGGATGTAGGTCCACCTTGCCCAGTATCCTGTGTGGTGCAGATGTTGTGAGAGTGAACTGGGCACAACTAGGGTTTTTTCCACTGTTCCTCTCCCATTGGCATTTGGGGTCTAGGAAGTTCTGATTCAAACCAGCTTGCACCACACCTGGTGGCAATGAGTCCCACACTTTAAAAAGA